TGAGACCCTATTTCTAAATAAAATACAAAATAGAGCTGGAGATGTGGCTCAGTGGTCAAGTGCCCCTGAGTTCAATCCTCGGTACCCCAAAACCAAAGGTGGCTCAAAGGCTATACTCCAGCTGTGCCTTGTCAGGAGTCATATATTCACCCGTACTCTAGAGAGCCAGCCATGTCTCAGATCCTCTTGTGCCTGTCCTGAAGCCTGGACTCCTTACCTTTGTTCCTGTGGTGTGAGGGCTGGAGGATTTTGACCTCAGATGGGAAGAAGGTTAATATTGCTTCCACAATTGTTAGGGATGGGGAAAAGGAGATGAGAAATTTAAAGGAGAAATTGTCCATGAGCCATAGTGGCAGAACAGAGAGAGTTATGTTTGAAGCATGAGGGGGACCTCTGTTACACTGTGATTCTCTATAGTTGCCTGTCTGTTCAGTTTTGGGGGGATGGCAGTGGCCCTTTGCCCCCAATTCTCTGCTGAATCTAGGAAGACCTGTTGATTTGCAATTTATCCAGCCTTTTCTTGTTGATGGGCACGATGATTTTCACTGTCAGAGCTGAAACCAAAAGTCTCCTCTCATGGACTTCCAACACCACTGATTTGATACCACTCAAAATTATTCACTGATTATTTTAGTAATTTTGCATCTGTGTGAGAGAGGTCGGTCTGTAATCTTCCTTTCTTGTAATATACTTGGTAGTATTTTGAATCAAGATGAGATTTTCAAATGAGTTGTGAATGTTCCTTCTTTTTGTTTGCTGGAGAAGAATTTCAGAACTCCATGTAAATTGTTTGTTAAGTGTTTGGGAAGGTTTGCTAGGGAAGCAATCTGTGCCTAGTATTGTCTTTGGCAGAATGTTTTAAATTATGGATTCTGTTTAGTTGAAAACAATACTGCATTATTTGGATTTATCTTTCTTTTTGTGTTCATTTTAAAAATATGTTTTAGTTGTCAAGGGACCTTTATTTTATTTATATGTGGTACTGCGGATCGAACCCACTGCCTCACACATGCTAGTCAAACACTCTACCCCTAAGGTACAACCCCAGCCCTTGTGTTCATTTTGATAAGACGTTTTTTGAGGATTTGTTCATTTTATCTAAGTTTCCAAATTAATTGAAATAAGGTGACTTATAATATCATCCTGTGATGTTTTAGTGTCTTTAGGCACACACCTATTGTCCTTCTTCCTGCTCTGGGCTGGGAAGGCCTAGGTGCAAGTGCGGCTGATCCACTCCAGTGAGGCCGTTGGGGTTCTACACAGAATCTGGACAGAACATCGGGCAGCCCTTGCTGCCTGATGTTGGGTGGAAGAACAGAAGTGTTATACTTTGAGCCAACTCTACTTCTTGTTGAAAGAGAACCCGCCTACTTGGGGAAGTCTGGTGATGTTAAAGGCCAGAGTTTGAAACACAGCAATTCTCAGGGGTTCAGAAAACTTGCAGGATCAATTTTCAGGCTCTCTAAGAGATGTGGTAGGAGCTGGATGTTCTTCAGCCCATCAAAATGTGGTTCATGCTGCTGAGTATAGCTTTGAATTATTTAGTCATGTAACCAGACTTTTCAGAAACAGCCATTATTGGTATATAACTTCTCTGTGGATAATTTCTTATTTGTTCTTGAATTTTAAAAATTCTCCATCTAGGGTCTTGATCACATTCCAGATGTCTAATAAAGAACTCCAGGTTTCCACAGGCCCATACCTCAGACATTTCAGGTGGCACAAGATTTTGGTTGTGGTGCTAGCCATTGTGTTTTGGGTGAGTATTCCTTGTTCCACTTACCTCTATACAGAACTTGAGCTGGTTATTTTCATCTGGGAGAAGGAGGCTGAGAGAAACTCTCCATTTTCCCACTTTTAATCCAGAAGCAGAAGTGTCATGACAGGACACTTAGAAGGTGTCTTAGAAAGAGAATGAGAAAACTGTGTCAGGTAGGGATAGAAGATAAGGGAGCCCAAAACCAGCCCAAAAGAGTATGCTTGAAGAAAGGGCTG